AAAGACATGGAAAACATGAACATGAAACAAAACCCAAACACCAAACCCCACATTACATGAACATGGTTTAAATATGGCTAGTTGTGTAACAAGTAGGATTTAACTAGTTAAATTATTAAGTAGTTTACAGGTTTACAAATAATAAATTATATATATATATATATATATATATATATATACAGTATATATATACACATACATACAGTCAAACCAAGAATTATTCAGATACCAGACATAATTTTTTATTTTTTTGTTTTTTACTAGTTGGTGCAGGACACTATAGTTCATTTATGTATGTGAGGATAGCTAAATAAAGTAAACTGTGACATATTATACCCAAAAATTCTTCATACAGTGGACTACCAGTAAAATTGATAAAAAATTATTTAGACATTTTGACCTGACCGTGTTTTGCTTAAGTGTTATCTGACATTATCAAGAAGAATTTGTTCTGACACAGTTTAACTCTGAGTTCTTGTCATATTTTATTACCATTTTCTAAACTAATAGGCGAATAAACTGTGATAATGTGTGAAATGTTGAAGGTGTCTGAATACATTTTGGTTTGACTGTATAAGCCTTGGTTGTGTAACAGTTCAACAGTTTTAACACATGCAGATTTTTAGTACTATTACATAAACATCATTCTTGTTTAATTTATGTATGACTGAGAAATATGCATCATAATAAGTTAATTAGTTTATGTTAAAACTGTGTATTATTTATATTCAATTAGAATACATAAAATCCTTAATATAGGCCAACATTTTTTGAGTGTTGTTAAAAAAAAGTCAAGATATAAATATAATACAAGTTCATTTTTACTGCACTTTCTGGTGAGTATTTACATGGCTGTCTGAAATACCTGATTCTGAATTGTTAATCATAGTATGTTGTGCCATAAAGTGTATTACTGACCATTGTCCAATTTCCAGTATAGGTGTGCTATTCATGTCTTTCATATACCAATCAGTCTCTTTCTTCTCACATAATAAAAAATAATTTAAACTCAAATCAGTATATTTGATAAGTAGCTAGCGAGAGGCATAATTTACAGTCAGCCGGTCAATATGGAAAAACAAGCCCCCTTCAGGGTTATACAAAACCATAGCCTTTAAATGGTATACAAGGAATAGTTCACCCAAAAATCATTATTCACTCACTCTGTTACTCATGTATTTTTTTTTCAATGGAATACAAAAGAAGAATTGTTACACATCATAACACCATACCAAATATGACTGGAACACTATATTCCAAGTATCCTGAAGCCATACGATAGATCTGGGTGGAAAAACAAACCAAAATTTAACATCCAGATTACAAACTGACACTTTCATAAACTTGACACACATGGTCAATGAAATGTCGTTATATGTCATTGTATGTATCTCCTTTTGTGTTCCACTGAACAACATGAGGGTGAGTAAATAACTACATAATTATTTTAGAGTGAACTATTCCTTTAACTGATCTGAATCTGGCAAATTGATTCATTTATTTACCCGTCTACAGGTCCTTCAATAACCCCAAGCACTGTTATAACAGCTAAAGAGACACAGCAGCCCGACAGTTCAACAGTCCAGTCCACAAACCCTGGAGATACTTCTCAGACCACAACACAACTAATCATAATTCAACAAACAACACAAATGGATGTCATAAACAACACTCAGAAAGCCACTTCACAATCTACCTGGCCCCAGACATCTGAACTGACAACATCCGAACTGAAAATCACCACTGTCAGCTCTAGTGAAATGACATTTCCAGCAGAACCAAACAGCACAGCCAACAACACAGGTACAAGATTCAACAGGTATTTAGACTATGATAACTGAAGACCAAAATTCACCTGCACAGTTTTCATTGCTGTGCTGGATTAGTCTATCAATTCTTTTGCCAAGTTCAGAAATTAACAGGGCCTTGGGGCAAAAATACCACCAAAATGATCAATAATGCGCCCCAAACTCAAGATAGTGAGTAAAAAAGTTAGGTCTACTACGGCTGTCATGAATAAAGTGAAATGTGAAATAAATGAAAAATGTCGCTTGCATCATTACATTTACTCTAGATTTACACTTTCACTTTGCTATATGTGTGCGTGTGTGCGTGCGTGCGTGCGTGCGTGCGTGCGTGCGTGCGTGCATGCGTGTGTGTGTGTGTGTGTGTATATATATATATATATATAATTCATAGGCTATTTACATGATGCCATTATGGCCTTTGGCTTTTGTTTCGTTAATGTTACAAAACAAATATTGCCCCTTAATGGAAAAGTTACTTTTTGACCCTAGTTTGTAAACCTCTATATTTGTAGATTCCTATATTTATATGGTTGATTTGTCTCTGTACAGCTCAGGGAGACAGAGAGGAACAAGATTTGGCAGCAAATCCAGGGCTGGTTGCAGTGCTGTGTATTTTCTGCATTGTGGTGGCTGTAGTTGTTGTGGTTGTGATAGTGAAGGCTGTTCGCTCCAGGAGACCACAGTTTGAGAGGATTGATGATGTACTTATGGTAAGTCTCATAATTACAGTAGCATTTCTGCATGCATCATAATCATAATTATGGGCCAAGCACCAAAGTTTTCTGCAGCCCACAGAATGGTAAAACATTTGGCACACGAATGGTGAAGATACTATAATATGTTTTAGTTTAGTATAATATGTCAGGGTTATATGTGTGTGTGTGTGTGTGTGTGTGTGTGTATATATATATATATATATATATACATACACACTATATATATACACACTACAAGTCTCTCATGCTCACCAAGGCTGCATTTATTTGATCAAATTAAAATACAGTGAAAACAGTAATACGGTGAAATATTATTACAATTTAAAATAATTGTTTTCTATTTTAATATATTTTTAAATGTAATTAATTCCTGTGATGGCAAAGCTTAATTTTTAGCATCCATTACTTAAACATCAAAACGCGTTTGATCAATTTAATGCATTCCTGCTGAATAAAAAGATTAATTTCTTAAAACTCCAAACCTTTGAAATATACTTCTGACATGAACAATAATCAATTATAAATTCTTCTGACATTAATTGTCTGATTTTTATTTGGAGGAAATACAAAAGTGGCTTATTTGTACTTATTTGATTCTTTTTTCTTTCATCAGGGCAAGGTAAATGAGGAAGCACCATTTGCCCACTACTCTCCAAAATAAATGCCAGTTTCTTATGCCTGCTGTCTCAGTGAACGACGTAGCTATGCCTCTGATATTTAGCTTTTTGGTTTTGAAACGAAATGTGCCTTTTTAACCTACAGACTTAATGTGCAATACCCAGTGTTTAGTTAGGAAATATAGTAATGTTGTGCTTCTTTTTTTCCCTTAAAATACCACAGCCAATGACAAAATTATAGTCAAATGAAGAAATCAAACTTTATATGTCCTAAATTTGTGTATTGTTTATGCCATTTTCTTCTCTTGTAAGCCCTTTTTGATTAAAACAATTTTTTTGACAAAATCTGCTGAATTAATACATGTAATTTGAATGTAAATGTACATAATGAGGATTGCACTGTCAATATTTGTGAGAGACTATGATGGGAGTGTGACATTTTCAGCTTGTCCTCCAGATGGCGACAAAATTGTTCACAAGCAGTTGTACTGTATGTATAATGTGGTCATAAAGACCTGCTCTTTAATATTATTTGAGAACTGAGGGTTATGTTTTTGCTCAAAATAACAAATACCTTTGGCCAAGGACTAACTCAAATGAATTTAAAACATTTCGACAAAAGTATTGTAAATAAACCTACATTTTGCAATAAAGCACTGTAAAATGGTATACATGCTTTAATTTCTGAATGTTTGTTTTAGGGAAGTTGACAAATAACCTAAGCATGAATGCATAAAGTTCATAATTTATATATATATATATATATAATATATATATATATATATATATAATTTTTCACCTTTTTGTATTTTTACAGATCACTTATGGCGTGAAAACTGAAAGCACATATTTTCTGTGTAGTAACAACTGCAAAATATTGGGGAAAATATTTAAGTATAGCATGTCACACAGCTTGTCATCTCATTTGAGCTAGCTGCTGTTTAGGACAGCATGCTCTCATTGTTTACATCAAGACTTTCCTACCATGTGACTGGATCGGCTTCACTGAATTGAGTGGGCAGTTCAGAGTTTGAAGTCTAATAACCTTCACCTCAAATATAATCTGAAGTATGTGAGCACAACTGCAGAACAGACACACCTGTATGACACTCCCCTACTACTGCACAGGAATTCACACGTAAGGCCTGTTCTTCTTTCTTTACGTCTTCTGTTGGTGCATTTACAGATGTTGTATTCCCAGACATTTTCACTGTATATTTAACATATTACTACCAAGCTCAGGGTCTTAGTGAAATATTTCACCTCAATGGCTCAATGACAATTTCCGTTTATGATGCTATTCGAAACTAGTTGTCTAAATAGACTCAAGGGGCCACTTGTAAAACAATTTATATGTCTGGAAGGGTTTGACTTTTTTCTCTTTTTTAGCTCATAATTCAACAGATAGTCCTTTGCCTGTGTTCTTTAATCGGTGAACAGTGGTTTAGCCATTTTAATTTGTACTGTATTCAGTAAAACAAGGTACAGTAAATGTTAAATAATAAAAAATGAAATGTGTCATATATGAAGTTAACACTTGTCCTGTCAAGGAAAAACTCTTCTTTCTAACAAGCCCAGAGCAGTCAAACAATGAATTTTTATTGACCAATGCTAGTCACTATTGCACTTCCCAGGATAATTTAATGTTTGGCATGGAAGTTTACTTGCATAGTGAATACTGTGTAGTATACACTGTATACTAGCTACTATTGAAACAGCAGGCTTTATTCCTGGTAGTATACATGAAACATTATTATGTCATGACATGACATGTTACGTGTGTAACTCAAGGAGGCCTATAACACCTGTTTATCTGTTAGCATTCCCATTCATCTTAATAACAGTCAGTTGGCAGGGACCCCCTACAAGATGCTCATAGGACCACAGAATGTTTTGAGCCATGATTACCGTTTCAAATTAGCCATGTATGATGACTTTGAGTCAAATAGCAGAGATGTTCAACAGTAATTTTCCTTTGGCTCCTGGCCAGTGGCACAAAAATGTGGTTTCGGTGTCCAGAACTGAGCGCTTCTGAAAAACGATGGCGGATATTCATATACTGTGAATGGTATACTGTACATAAACAGTAAAATGATTTGCACATAAATGATTGCAAATAAAACAAAGATTATTGGAGTATGTACAATTTTCACTCAGAAATTGCTAGTGAATTTCACAAACATTTACAAAGAAACAGCAAGTAACACATTGAATTAAACATGGAATTTTGAAGAAGAAAAACTGAAATAGTATTTTCTGGTAAAACTCCAATATTTTATTTATTTACAACTTATATATATGTATATACAGTATCTATATCTATCTATCTATCTATATATATATATATATATATAAGTTATATATTATAACTGCAGTTTAATTGCAGTTTAAGGTAGCTATAGTTTAATAACTACATAATATGAAATTTAAAAATGTATTCATTTATTTGCATAACCACTGTTTCTTGCTGTACTGTAGTTTTGTCTATTTATTACTGAAATAACTAAATTCAATTTGTGTTAAATAGTGTTGCCATAGAAACACATAATTTTGAGTCCGCTCCGTTCGGGTTGTCATTTAGTAATTATCGTATCAATGACCAGTCAGTTGGTGCTATGTATTTTAATGAGGAGGTGATTTAAAACTGAATTATTCGCATCATCAACAAAATGTTATTATAACTCAAATAAAATAATAGTAAAGTCATGATATAATAAAACCTCAAAATCACCTGCAGCGTGTAAACCATGTAATTGTGCTTCACCAACAGTTTGTTCAATCTGTGGGGGGAAACAGCTTCAGAAACAGCCTAATCACTCAGAATGACTGTATTCAGTCAAATGACTCAGGCAGGAGTGATCTGAAAACAACACTGAAGAGTTTGACTTCATATTAAGGTTCAGACACAGTAGCTACACTGGGTTGCATGTAATAAACAGGCACAAAGTGCACGGAAATATGAGTCATAAGCATTTTCCAATGAGAAAGAGTGTATGTTAATGATCAATCAGCGGCAAAATCAGCATGCGTAGAGCAAAATAACAATCATCATGACACAACCACTATGGAGTAATGCACATATGCCTTTTGAACTGAATGTATATATGATGTACATAGAGTATGAGTAATCATAAGCTGTTTATCTGTATGTTGTTTCTGATAAGTCATTGAGATTTGGATGCATCAAGAGTGCTTTAGACAGATTTTAATGCCTGTGAGCATTAAACAGCTCCTGAGAGATTTATGGATGTGCCATTTAGTTTTTCTAAAGGTTAGACAGTCCTTGAAATGGCTGAAAAGCTGAAATGTCATAATAAAATAACTTGCTTTTTAAATTATTTAAAGATCATTTAAGTGCTGTATGCTTGTGCAAAATGTTCTGTGGTGAGGTTGTGTTGTTCTTTCTGACCTGACTTTTCTGAATTTGCTAAGGTGTTTTGGGTGGTTTCTATGGCATTGCTATGGCGTTCTGGGTTTCTAAGTTGCTGCGAATGGGTTGATAGGGCTGTGCTGGGCTTTTTTGCCCTTTAGGTTCCTTCAAGAGGCCACCTTCAAGTCTCAATGATATTCTGCTAGACATGTGTGAGGTTCTGTATTGACTTGTCATCCATCAGTTTTTAATCCTTTTTTTTCATCCATTGCTCTATGTAATATGATCAGAGGCATAATTCATGCTCTTTCAGCATTATGCTGCATCTCTGTTTATTCTGCCCTCGTAAAAGAGTTCCCCTTCTTCTACTAGGCAGATAGATAACTCCTTCCACAGGGACGTTTAATTGAAGCATGGGTTTATTATGACCACCACTTCAAATATAAGTGGAACAGAGTAAAACTGAAATACAAAAAAAATGAAAAAATAAATCTCTAAAGAATGAGCATTAAAGATATGTAACAGTTCACTTAAGGGATAACTGCATATACTATAAACAATAATGACGCAGATGCATGTAACACTGTACTGAAAATAACCTCTCTAAACATAAAATTTATCCTGAATAACATCGCCAATACCAAGTATAAGATGATGATAAAGTTCTTGTAAACACTTTAATGCTTACAGACAAAGCTTTTTTAAATGATTTCAAAATGATGAAAAGATTGAAAATAGCTGCTTTAACCGTGTGACTATCAGCATCAACTGAGTAAAAACAAGATGGCTGCTAGTAATGTCAGAGGTTACTGTCAAAACATATAGTAACCTCTGAAAAAAAAAATTCAACTACACTAAACTTCACTGGAAACAGTACACTGTTTGTTTTACATGTATGGCCCTGCATTATAATACACCACTACTACTAATACATAACTTTGGATTCCAAGATATACTGTTTATTATTTATTACATAATTTAATTAAATGGATTAAATTAATTATGGTGAGACACTATAGGGAAAACAATCATTTTTGAGATTTTGGGCTATTTGGCTTTTCATAATATGTTGTTTCAAACTAGTTGAACAAAAACATCCAAAATAAACTTTAAGTGTTGCTTTTATTGCACTTTATCTATTTGCATCTGTAGATTTCAATTACAATACATATCTTAAAACGTTGTTTTCCCCAAATTAGTTTTTTTCTTTCTGCAGAAATCAATTCTGGAAAAACAAAATTGCTTTGCTTCACAAAAATTTAACAAACCTTTCTATTGGTTCTGAAAAAAAAAATGCATATGGTTATTAACAAGCTACATTCAAATAATGTTATGTTCCTCTTTGGAACAGGTTAGATATCATGTGTGCAAAACAGTCTGAACAGACGTCAGTGAGACGTAAACCTGACTGCAGTTAACACACAGGTGCTGATTAAAAGTGTTAATGTATCTTGACTGCTTTTATTATCAATCAGGCTCTAAAACTATTTTATTGCCCTTTGTTCCAAGAAGGAAAGAAAAACCATAAAACAGCATGAGGGTGAGTAAATGATGACAACATTTTTGTATTTGAGTGAACTATTCCCAAGCGCATAATCTACCAGCTCAGATCACCTTCCAGTCTCATAAAGTAAAGATATGATTAATTAAGTCATGACTAACGTAATGTGACATAAGAGACATTTTAGTTGTTTAGTGTTGATGAATGTGACGAATGCTTGATGCTCTCTGTCTTACTCATTTCTTTCTTTCAGTGGCCCCTTGAAATGTTAGTTCAGGACTAGACAGAGATTTACGATTTAATTAAAGTGTTTCTTTAATTAAAGTGCTTTATACTGATCTGCCACAGAACTTAGTACATGTTTTTCTCTGTGCATCCAGCTATGAAGAATCTCATTGCTCAGATCTGAGCTGTGATGAAACAGCAGATATGTTTGTCATTTGCCATATTTCAGCGTCTGTCTCTCTGAGGCGTTCTGCCATTTGAGCGGCTCTCAAAAGCCACCTGTTGTGTTTGTACACATCTCTCATTGCATCAACACGCCATTGATTTAGACTAATTCAGATCATCTTTAGCCCTTAAAGGGATAGTTCACCCAAAAATAAAAATTACCCCATGATTTACTCCCCCTCAAGCCATTCTAGATGTATATGACTTTCTTCTTTCAGACAAATGCAATCAGAGTTATATTAAAAAATGTCCTGGCTCTTCCAAGCTTCATAATGGCAGTGAATGGGGGTCAAAATGGGAACCATTTGATACAACAACTTCTTACGCAGGAT